AAGATTACTCTTCCAAAAATACTTAGTTTTGCTTAAAAGCTTTAACTAAGAACAATACTTAACTCTTTGCTTAAAAGCTTAGAGGAGAACAATAATATGATAAACAAGTAACAATCAGTCAACTTAAATGCATCAAAAGATACATGAGGACGTATAAAAATAGAAACTCCTTTGAAGAAACCTCTAACCCTAAGACTAAGAAAAGTAGGATTCCCCTTATTTTTTACAAAGTTCTTAATGAATTTAGGTCTAGGTAATTTCTTTAAATACTCCTCAGTAATCCATGGGCCTTGAATCTTCTCCCAGATATTCCTTGTTGCAAACGTTGAGGGTTGCACTAATATATGTAGAAAGATCTCCTTAAATATTGGAACAAAACACAATGTTCCTAAATTGTCTCAAAGCCCAATTTTTGGTAACCTGTGTAGAAATGGAGATAAATTAAATCTTCCAAATTGAATATTCTTGACCTACGAAAAATCAGTGAGATAAAACCAAAAGGAATATCACAGTATCAATTTAAATCTGTCAAGAAAAAGATGGCCTATACTGATGTTCTAATACAGGATGTTATAATATTTGTCAGAATATTTGTCTTCAAATGAACCTGGCCATCATGTTAGAACATCTTTTATAACATCATGTTGCAAACCATGTTTTAGCAAAATTTTGTAAATCCTAAAACCATGGTGCTAACACGACCAAAGTTTCTACAAGAGAAGTCAATCAACCCTGTGAAGTTCATCAAGAAATTCATCCTCCTGCTGTTGAATGCTAATATTGCAACAATCTTTCTCTGAAAGTGATAGAGAGGAGTCTGATCATGAGAAGATGGATATTCCAGAAGAGGAACCAATCAAGAGGAATCTCAAAAATATTCTTCTCTTGAAATTTCTGATCATGGCGAATATGCTCATAAGGATGAAGAGATGTCTGATTCTTCTGAAGAAAAACCGGATGAAGATGGGACAAAAATTGATGATGCTCAACACACCATTGCGACTAAATCTAACGAAACCTTTGGCATAATTTCGAATTTCAAACTTCCTTCAAAAAAAACCTCTATTTCCTTATCACAAGAAGAAATGGAAAAACTAAAAAGGAATAAACCTTCATAATATCCAAGGTTAATGATGAGCACTAAATGAAGTTCAATTGAAAAGTGTTCGAGTTCTTCGACTGTCTCTGGTGGAGTCTCAGTCGTCAAGCCTATTGAAGAGATTATTCATCAACTTAAAGCAAAAATCTTTGGCACATACTTATTCCAAACCTTGGAGAATGATGCCATGTCTTCTTATGGAATAAAGGATTTGCTTAAGCAGTTCGACATTCTTAATGCTCCTTCAATTATTGCTAGTTTTATAGTGGAATTTGGGCTTTTACTCAACCAAGTCATTGCTGACATTATTCGTAAAATGGATGCCATGAACAAACTAAATAACAAGCAACTAACTCGATAAATAGAATGGGAACTTGCCACCAAATCTATGAGAAAAGTTAAGGAACTAGAGAAATATATTCAACAGGGCAATGAAGAATTCGACGCCACTATTGTCCTCTTGCACTAACATACTTCATATGGTCTACTTTGAAGCAGAAATATACAATCACATGTACTTATTTCTAGCAGGAGGAGCCAACACTAGAGGTTGCATTAAGTATTTCTTGATTTCATCAAAGGCCTTTTGGTGCTCTTGTTGCCACTGAAAACCATCTTTTTTCAAACAAAGCAATGTCGAGAATGCTTGAGTCATTTCACTAAGGTTTGAAGCTCTTTCTTGGTCGAAGGAGGATTCATTTCCATAATTTCTTTTGTCTTATTTTGGTTTACCTTGATGCCCTTTTTGTGAACAACAAAAACAAGGAATTCTACAGCCTGCATACAAAAAGTGCACTTAAGGGGACTCATTTTTAGTCCGTACTTTCTAATTCTTTCAAACGATTGTCGAAGATGGTCTAGATGACCATGTTCCGATGAAAACTTAATAACTATATCATCAATATATATTTGCATAAAAGTTTTGATATAGTCATGGAAAATTGAATTCATTATCCTTTGGTAAGTTGCCTCGGTACTCTTTAAACCAAATGGCATCACCACTCATTCATAGGTGCCTAAGGCTCTTGGGCATCGAAATTCTGTTTTCATAACATCTTCATCTGCAATAAATATTTGGTTATAGCCAGAGTAATCATCGAGCATACTAAGATAGTCAAAACCCACTACTAAGTCAGCCAACATTTCAGTGACAGACAATAGGGTGTTTGTTTTTTGGGGTTGCAACATTAAGATCTCTGAAATTTAGGCAAACCCTCAATGTTCCATTCTTTTTAATCCTTGGAACTATATTCTCAAGCCACTCAGCATACCTTGTTGTCCTTATGAACTTGCTTTTTAGGAGTCTTTTGATCTCCTATTTTATTTTAGACATTATCTCTAGTGCAAACTGTCTTGGCATTTGCTTGATTGACTTTTTCCCAGGCTTTAATGGCATCTTCAATTCGACCAAATATCTGCTTAAACCTAGAATTTTATTATAATCTCAAGCAAAACAATCATTATACTCTCTAAGTAACTTTATTACCTTGATTAGGATGGGATCGATGTTGGCACTGATGTATGTCAGCCTTCTATCGGTTCCTTCGCCTAAATTGATCTCTTCCAAGGGATCTTGGGGTTGCATCCTTATTGCAAATGTGATTGGATCCTTCTCGAACCCCAAAGGCTTATCGCCATAAATGTAATCGAGTTTTTGGCCTTTTTTGCCACTATCTTCCATTCCTGCTAACCACAGCTTGTCGGGTGGTTTTGGCTTAATCTTTATTCTCTACTCCACATAGAAGATCTCTACTTCATTGGCTTCGATAGCCATATGTTGGACTTTAGCCTCTAAGTCTGATCTCAATCTATTTTTGACTACATAAGCCGAAATTCGCTGTAAGGCATCGGACTTAGACATCATCATCGACTTCGCTTTCCTACCTAGTTGGTTGGATGGTAAATTCAACGCTGCTCCGATTGGATGTTCTTTTGCATTTGGAGTGTCGTTTTGGGGAAGGGGTAAATCATTTTATGATTGACAAGACATCTTAACAATTTTTCCACTCCTCAGACGCATAAACACTCAATGGTTGAAACCATTTGCATGTGTGAAGAACATAAAACAAAAATAAAAGCACATACACTCTTTTGCAAAAGTTTTATTTTGCACAAAAGTAGTCCGACTAGACGTGCCAATTTATTTATTAGTATTTTTAGTAAACAATCTCGTGTTTTAATTCACTTGTAGGATCAAACTCGAAAATCCTACACAATACTTTGTGTAAAACGTATTGAGAGAACGTGACAGTGTTGGAAGAATTTCTAATGTAAATAACACAAGAAATAAAGTAAAATCGTTTGAATTCACAAAAATAGGCAAAGAAATAAAATATAAATAAAGCAAATGAAATGCTTGAATTAAAAATAGAACACGAGTTCATACATTTTTCACAAACTCGTTATCTCAATGAATCAAATGTATGAGTTCTAAAGAGAACAAAATGAAATGTGAACCCTGATTACAGAGTCAAAATTTACTTATATACTAGGTACACTATTAACTGCCAACAATGGTTATTTTTAAAAATTTGACATGTATACAGCTACATGTGTTATCGTCTTCTGAATCGTTTCCACGTATCTTTGGCTCTTGAACTGCTTCAAATCGCACTACTTATCGAAAACGTCTTCAAGTCTTCTAATCACATCTTTCGAAAAAGTTACTTACATTGAGTTTGTGACTTGAGTTCGAAAATATGACCCCACATATATGTCAAAATGTTAAGCAAAATTCTGATGCTAACAGCAATAGTCTTAACGCAGTGCAATAATGAAACTTGAAGAATAGCGAAGAGGTAGCCAAAATCTTGAAAAAAATAAGATTAAATTGTAGTAAAGATTTTTTTATATAATAATTTATTTTGTAACATATATTTCTTGAGTTAAAAGATAATGCATTGACCGTGTAAAATAGTTTTATACTGTCATCTAATAAAAATTTATCATTTAGCTATGTTATATAATTTATCTAAAAATAACAGTATGATTTGACACTTAACATAATTGTGATTTATTGACAGTGTAAAATTATTTTACATTGTCAATATATATTCTTTATTCTCATATTTCTTTAGAAGATAACTTTAACAATTGATTAAAATTTATCATTACATCTTTTTATAAAGTTTTTTTTTCTTAAATAGTATGTTGGTTCCAATAAATTGTAGTATGTTGATTTCTGTATAGTCTCTAATCTATTTTTTAAAATAGTCCTTGAATGTTAAATTTTTTTGTTTTGTTTTAGTTTTTAAAGTTAAAATCCGCAGAAAACCAATAAATTTTAAATCCGCAGAAAATATACCTATTTTCTTGCCGATTTTGAATTTAAAGACTAAAACAAAACAAAAATTTACATTCAGATACTATTTAAAAAAATATACAAACTAGAAACTAAATACAAAATACACCAACATATTATTTAAATTTATAAAAAAAATTATAAAGAAAAATTTGTCAATACTAAACATTGATTATTATCGTTTAAAAATCATCATGTTATCCATCTAAATAATAAGTAATAAGTAAGAAGTATACACAGATAAATCGACATGTAATTTGAGATGTAAACTATATTGTTTTGAATTGTAAGAATGTAAATGAACACATATGCACAAAATATAAGGAAGATAAAGGTGGGAATTAAATTAATTATATTCATGATTTATCAAGGAGTGAGAGCGGGGTTTGAATAGATTTTAACATAAAGCTAGAAAATAAATGAAGAATTTTATGGATGCCACCTAGGAATATTTGTGACATGGCATTCATGAGATGTAAAACAATGAGAATAGGAGTCTATTTTAATATACTATTATATTATATAGAATTTACATGATTATATAATGGATTGGACTTAAGAACAAGAAACTTTGAGCACTTAATGGATTATTGATTAATTTCACATATCCACAAGAGGTTTGCAAGAATTTTCAGTCATCAAAATTTGATTTTCCTCATTTGGTAATTCCTCCAACAATGTTGATAGCTTCTCAACAATTTCTCTTGCATTAGGCCTCAAACATGCATCTTCCTCCACACAAGCTTTTGCAATATTAGCAACTTTCAAAGCTGCATCAAATGAGTAATTCTCACCTAATGCACTGTCTATCCACTCTCTTAGTAATTCATTCACATTATTCTCCTCTGTCTTCAAAGTACTCTTTATTTTGTCACTAAGCCAAACACTTCCTTCCCCTCTATCACTTGATCCATTTATAGGTGTTTGACCAGATAAAACTTCTAACAAAACCACACCAAAAGCAAAGATATCAATGCTTGTTGAAACTACACCTTGGTGAACATATTCAGGTGCTAAATAACCAATACTCCAAGAAGCATAATTACTTGAATAAAATTGAGGGTCCTCAGTTTCATTCACAACAAAACTTGCCATCCCAAAATTTCCTAACTTAGCACCAAACTCTTCATCTAAAAAGATGTTCCTACTCTTCACATTTCTATGCACATAACTTGGACTCATAACATTGTGCATGTAATCCAAAGCACTAGCTACATCAACACAAATTCTAAGCCTTTGGTTCCAATTTAAAAAACAATAGCAAGAAGCAATGAACTGATTCTTGATGGCCAAGCCACCATGAAGCCAATCTTTCAATGAACCATTTTTAGCATACTCAAAAACTAAAAAAGATTCTGACTCTGTTGACTCTTCTGATATACTTAAACCAAGAAGGTTCAATATGTTTGGATGATGATGAAGTGAATCATGGAAAAGGCCAAGTTCTAGTTTTGACAGCATTTCGGTTTTTACTCTTTTGATTGCCATGTTCTTACCATTTAAACAACCATGGAAAACTGACCCTTCAATATGAAAATTTGAACTGAAGTCTTCTGTTACTTTTCTCAAATCTTCAATTGTGTATGTCTCCAACAACATCTTACGTGGCATTGCATCGATGATTTTACTATCAAGAGTGTCCTGTGACCCCTCAAACGAAACTTTCTTATCACTTGTGGTTCTCACACTTTGATTCAAATGTTGTAGCTCCATATCTCTTTCTTTGCATGACTTTTCTTCCACCTTTGTTTTCTTCAACCAAATGAAGAAAAAGGTTACTATTAAAGCAAAGGAAACTCCAATTGCAACACCAATTAGGCCAATAAAAAGCTCACTCTTTTTCATTTTTGACTTCTTATGTGGCCTAGTTCCTGTAATATTGTTGGTTCTTGGGAAATCTGAGTTGGGTTGTTTTGGTTTAGTTAAAGGCTCAAAGAAAGGGTTACCATTCAATGGAATTAGAATAGAGGTAAAAGGCTCTAAGCTTCTAGTTCTAAGAACTTGAGATGATGATGATGAAAAGTTATTGGCAATAAGAATAGCTTCTTTTGTAATATGGAACTTTAAGGCCAAATTTGAAATAGTATCATTTTCACTTATAGGATAAGAAAGAAGAAGTTTTGGTTTTGGTATGACAAAAGAAGAAAAAGGGCAAGCACATTTCAAAGGGATGATCAATTTGTGTTTAGCATCAAGGTTCCAAGGTGAGACACCAAGGTTGTTGTCTTTAATAGCCTTGCAAGTAGTTAAGCCTTCAAGTGATTGAGAAATGTCATAAAAACTCTCACCTTTGATGGTAGATTTTGTTAATTCAGCTTGAAAATAACCACCTTTTTTGCACTTGCAATCAATTGGTATAAGAAGAGGATGATTTTGAGGAAGGTACTCAGTTTGTGCAGAGAAGCCATTGGTTTCTGCTATGGAAAACCTGTTGAGTCCTAAGTATAGGGTGAGGTTGGAGAGGGAGGAAAAGTGAGAGTTTGTGAAAAAGAGTGCAAATGTTTCACAATGATGATTTTGTAACTCATTTTCATTACAACGGTAGCTAGAATCATGTGGTGATGTTGTTTCACAGGTTAACAGGCTTTTACCAAATGAAGAGAGAAAGATCCAAAGGAAAAAGAACAAAACTCTCATGTGGAATGTAATCATCATTTCTAACCTGTCCATAACCACTCAACTATCTCTAACATGGAGTGTCCTATTAAAATAGAACCCTTTTTATTCTCTCTCTTTATATTGGAGACTTCAAATATTTGGATCCATACAAAAGAGAAGCATGTGGAAGATAAAAGAATTTTTTTCAAGTCTGAGATAGGACTATTGGGAATAACAAAGTTTATTTTGCATATTTTGACTCCTTTACATGGATCTACTTATACAAAAATGTTATTTGGACGGTCGTTAAAAATTGCAGATCAGATCATCTAATGCCCCTGCAATATTGATATTGTGGTGTAACGCCCGTCATGTACAACGTAACGAAACGAGAGAGAAATGTTCATATTTAATGTCTGACACGCTAAACAATTATCATAAAGTATGGTCGGTCGTGAATGCGAAAGTATGTACACGTGAAACTCTTTTACATGTAAAAGCAAAGAGATCTATGGAATTTCCAAAGGATATAATGAAGATGTGAATTCAAGATATATGGAAAAGGAGTGTGGATAGAAATGATGGAAGAAATGGAAAATATAGGGTTATATATGAAAATGAGACAAATATGTATGGTAAAGTTAAGGCACAAAAGAAAGGCTACCATTGAGAACATTGATATCCTAAGTTGACAAAAAGCATTACCATAGAAAGAAAAAAACAGCCACCAACCATGCCAAGCCATGTTTGTGTATCATAATTACAACTCAAAAATATTAGGATATTTTATAAGTTAGATGTTTGTTTGAATGACAATATTTTTATCTATAAGTATGATCTGGTTCATCTAAGTCTAATTTTAAATTGAAGACTACATCAATATTATTAATGTGGTAGTTTCTGCAATAGCATTATACCGCAATGACATAGTGATAGTGAGCAGATGATTTCGGCCATGTTTGTTGCAATTAACTGTGATTGGTACTTTACCTGCAATAAAGTACTTACTACTACTGAAAATCTGGTGGGCTTTTGGGTCAGATTCTCAGAACCATTATTTTTTTGTACCAGCTTTTTACCTAGGCTTGGATTCAGTGCAGTCAAAAGTAGTATGAGTGTTCGAGATAAGAGACACTATAATTTGCTTTCTTTTTTGCATGATTCTCCTTTTTAATTACTTTTTTGTCTAGAGATCTTCTCAGGGAAACTTTTTTTTATAAACTCTTAGTGTTCAGCCGTTCTAAAATCTTCTTTTTAGTCTTAGAATTATCAAAAAGATAAATAAAGGAGAGGAGTCTCCTCATTAGGATAATAAAACAGATAGATCTAAAGAATATGTATTGAATTGTTAATGAATGGATCAAAACAATTTATTAATTTATTAATGATTCACTAATTTTTTTTTTAAATATTCAATTCAATTCATCTATTAACAATATTTAATAGATGAATATCCATTCATTCAAAAAAATTAATTTAAATATATTTATTTATTTATTTAAGAAAATATATTTTGTATTTTCGAATAAACTCAATATTTTTGTGTTTTCAAAAAAACTCAATTTTTTGATTTTTCGAAAAAACTCTATTTTTCGATTTTTATGTATTTTTTGAAATTTTTTTATTTTCTCAAAAAAACTCGTTTTTTTTATTTTCTAAAAAAAACTTAATTTTTTCGATTATCCGAAAAAAAATCGATTTTCCTAATAAACTCGATTTTACAATTTATCAAAAATGACTCGACTTTTAAATTTTTCAATAAAAACTCGATTTTTCGTTTATCCGAAAAACTCTACTTTTCATTTTTCTGAAAAAACTAAACTTTTCAATTTTCAGAAAATCCTTGATTCATTGATTTTCCTAAAAAAAACTCGATTTTTTTCGATTTTGTGAAAAAAAACTGATTTTTCGAAAAAACTCGATTTTTCCATTTTCCTAAAAAAACTCGATTTTCCAAAAAAAATTGATTTTCTGAAGAAAACAAATCTCGATTTTCGATTTTCCGAAGAAAAAAAACTCAATTCTTTGATTTTTCTAAAAAAACTCAATTTTTCAAAAAAAACTCGATATGACAGGAAAAAACCTCGATTTTTCGAATTTCCAAAAAAAAAACGATTTTTCGAACAAACTCGATTTTTGGAAAAAACTTGATTTTCCGAAGGAAAAAAACTTAACTTTTCGAAAAAAAATCGATTTTTCGAAAAACTCGATATTTCGGAAAAAAATTGATTTTTTCGATTATCCTAAAAAACTCGGTTTTCCAAAAAAAAAATCCAACTATTAGAAAAAACTCGATTTTTCGAAATTCTGAATAACAATAATTTTTTTATTTTCGAAAATAATTAATATTTTATTAATTTTTAAAAAATAGATTTTATTGAATTAAAAAAATAATCTAAAAATAATTAATTGGATTATAAAAATGTGTTGGATGGATCGAATTCATCCGTATATATAAATAAATAGATTTAATTTAATCTATTAATTGCTTCTTCTTTTTTTATGAATGAAATGGATAAATTTTTTAATATTAAATAAATTTTATCTTAATATCTTAATGAATTTAATTGTTATCCATACTTCAAATAAATGCCTTTTGATCTTACCGGATCAGATCTGGACCGTCACGACTTGCTCCGAGCTGAAGTTGAAGGAGATGGGGGGTACCTGCAAGGCACTCCGATGCTAAAGTAAGTGGCAGTACGAGCAGACAAGAAAGTGTGTGTATGGTAAAAGAATTGAATACTTGACCCTCTGGGAACAGAGAGTATTTATAGCCCCCAGCGCTGGGCCAAGGTCCCTTCATTGGGCCGGGCAGGTTTGGCCCAATGAAGGAACTGTCAGGTTCTACGTGTGTAGTGGGGACCCGCGCGTGGTCTCCTTCCTGGGTGTTCTGCGAGAAGTACGGACGGACGAGGACGCGGTCTTTTCGGAATCCAGGTGATGGTGTAATGGTCATAGTCTGCCCTACGAGGGGTGCTCGAGCTGAGGTCGAGCTGGACTGCATGGAGTCGAGGATGTCGCACTCGCGGACGGTGGCGGACACGACTGTAGCTTCTTGGTCGGCGCGACCCTCTGCAAAGCCGTTTGGATTGGGCCTTCATCCTTGCTCTTGGGCCAGCCCGATCCAGTCCAGAACAGGAGCCCCCCAAGTCGTGGTTCCTGGAGTAGGAGCCATGACTTGATCTTAGTTCGCCTCCGTCACGAGGTCCCGTGCTCGGACAAGAGATTTAGTTCCCCGTGGTCACTCGAGGAGTTTCCCCTGTGTCGCGCTCGTGAGATAATTCCTTTCGAAGAGTGCTCGGGGGACTCTCGACGGGCTGTGTTCGTTGAGCACACGAGGCATCTCTTGGGAACCGTGCCGCTACCCTATTGAAGATAGGGTCATCATTGCCTAGGGGAGCTATGCGTCGATGAGGAAAGTTCGTGGTTCCCCGGGGTGACGTTTTGTATTCCACGTCATCACTATAAATAGGGTCCTTGGGCCCCAGAACATGTTTTTCCTCTTCGCGCTTCTCCTCCTTCATCTGCCTCTGCTGCTGCTGTTCTTTCCAGATTTTCATAGGATCGTGTGCTCTCCGCCGCTGATTCTCTTCTCCGCCGCTGTACCTCTTTCCTGATTTCAAGTAAGCGTCTTGTCCCTTTTTCTTTTCCTCTGTGGCATATGATATTTTCCATTGTTTTATGCGTTAGAGACTGTACGTCTGGGATTAGCCCCGGTAGATTCGTATTTTCGCTCGGCAAATCCACGTTTATGCCCGGCAAACGCATGTTTTGTGCCCGGTAAATGCATAGTTTAGGTATTTGACTCGCAATGCTGCCCGGGATCTTCATGATTCAGGGCGCCTAATTCGTGATAGTGCCCGGTAAATTCATAGTTCTAGTTTTAGGATTTATGATATCGCTCGCCATGTCCGTAGCCTAGGTCGACATATTCGTGACTGGCCGGGATGTTGGCCCGTTTAGGCAATCTGTAGGAAGACTTGTCGCGGTATCTTGGCGTCGGGGAGGTGGCTCCACTCTTTTGTTCGAAACTTCAACTTTTTAATCGTGTGTGGAGTGTGACTCGGTTTGTCGTGCCCTTCTTCCCGTCAGTTATGGCGAGCGTGTGGATTTGCTCCCCAATTGACCGGTTTCCTGTGCTTTGCAGGTTACAATGGCGGATGAACCGTGTTCCTCGGGGCGCAATGAGGTGGAAGATCAAAGCGCCGAGGAGAATGTGAATCGGGTCGATACCATCGACGATCCTCTGCTGGAGTGGGTGGGCGCCGAGCTCAGAGGGATTGCTTCTGCCTATAGTCGGCGCAATCAGAGTGCGTATACTATCGCCGAGCAGGGCGGTAGTCAGCCCGGCTTTAAGAAAAACTTCGTTGTCACCAGACCGACTCTTACCGCGCAGATCTGCTCGGAGTTCCCCGAGTATGGGTTTCCCATGTATGAGATCGCTTTCAAGGATCTTGGACTACAGCTCCCCTTTAGTGATTTTCAGGTCGGGGTCTTTAGTCATCTGGAGCTGGCCCCGTCGCAGCTTCACCCCAACTCGATTGCTTTCCTCCGGGCGTTCGAGCTGACGTGTCGCTTTTTAAGGATTGGGGCGACCATACCTCTCTTCTTCAGAGTCATCCATTTACAGCGCCAGACTCGGGGAGGTAGGCACAGTTGGGTTTCCCTGAAACAGTCGAAGAGACTGTTCAGGATGTATATGGATTCTGTCTGGGGGTTCAAGGACAAATGGTACATCGTGCGGACGGTTACCAAAACTGGTCTGGAGTCTGTATACGAGGAAGAAACGGTGGTGACCGATGATCACGGGGAGGCTCTTCTAGACAATGAGGGACGCCCGGTGTTGGGGCGTGTGGCCAAGTTTCCTTTGCATTGGACCTCGCGTCACTACGAGCATGGCACCGGGCACTACCATACGCCCGCGGGCGGGATGAGTACCGAAGATGAGGAGGCCTATGGTACCCTCTGCAGATATGTCGATAGTTTCTTCCCTGCCCGGTGGGCCACGAGGGAGGGAAAGGATATTCTCGACGAAGATGGTTATCCGACCTTTG